ACACCTTGCTTAATGGAGGGAAGAACAGGTGTAGAGAGACAAAGTCACATGCCCAATTACAGGTCAGCTGAGGGCTGAGCCAACCCTCAGACCCCTCTGCCCCCAAAGAGATTCTCCTATCCTTTTCCACAAATCAGCTGCTCACCCCAGTGGGATAAAATGGGCCACGGTAGCCAGGAACACCAGACACCAAAGGGCCTCCTGTGCCCTTTCCAGAGCGAGGACCTGGATCTCTGCGCCACCCAATGCCACTCACAGTCCTCCTTCACGGAAGGACCTTAGTTACTCCCACTTCTGCCTGTGGTCAGGGTACCTTAATCACTGCTGGAGACTCTGCGGCTTCTCCCAATAAACAGCTGCAGGAAAGGAATCGCTGCATTAGCTACAAAGCACCTTGAGGTCACTGACTGTTATATGACTCACCTCTGGTAGAAATCTAAACAGGAACTAAACCTTACAATTTTTGAAGTGAGATTTTTACACCCTTTGCAACATCTGCAAGCTTCTGTCACAGCTGATGTTCACTGCACACAGGGGTGGGGGTTCTCACCATATGCACAGTGACCCTCGCCACATGTGGAAGCCAGGGCACAGAAAGATGAGAGGAAGGGCCAGCAATCATACTGGCAGGCAGGTGACGGAGCTGTGCCATGCGCCTCCCCTTTCCTACGTAGGCAGCCAGCGGCTCACACAGAGAAGTTCTGCTACAGCAGTGGACACACTCCTGGGCTTCCTGTACTTGACGCAGGCTTCACAATCTCGCACCTTTGTGTCTTTACATTGAAAGCTCACTGGAACTGTTACATGAGGGAGACACACACATGTCCTGAAATGCCTCTAGAAAGAATGATGTCTGCTCCACAGTAAATACACCAAGTTCTATCTCTAGTCTCTGTCTGAGAATGAGTCAGTGAGTGTCCTCCAGCGACTTTTATGGGGATTCTGTCCTTTAGCCATGTGAAGTACTGGAGCCAGCAGCAGGAAGGCAGTACTTCCTGACTACGCTGTCCTTGCCTAGGACATTTGTCCCGCTTACGTGGCCTAATTGGAAGAGCACCCAGCCTTTTAGCTCTGGCTTTGGTAACTGGACAGTCTGGAAGGAACCAGGAATTCCCAGAGCAGTGGTGCCCTCTGTTGGTGGCTCCTCAGCATTGCGAGTGCACATCAGAGAGCTCAGATTCCTTCCTCACACTGCTGTAACTGCAAGGAACTGAAGCCCCCGTGATTAGAAACCTCCAGAGAGGGCAGGTAGGGCCCTGCTCCCTTCCTTCTTGCAGGTATTCATTTTTTTTTCTTCTGTATTTTAGGGAAGGGTCTACAGGGTGTTCAGGGTCTCCTTACTAGATCAGATTCGTGGTGATTCTCCGTTTACAGACCCCCAGGTGCTGGGATTACAGGCACACACCACCACGCTCAGTCTCAACTGCCATCTCAGCGTGCCCTAGGGGGCGGGGCCCACATGGCAGGCCTGGGGATTGAACCCCCCGCCCGTGTGCCTGCTTGCAGGCGCTTTAATTTGCTGAGCTATTTCCAGCAGGTATTCAGATGGTACGTGTAATGCAGTGTATATGTGCCCTGCCGTAAGCAACGTGGCTCCCCACAGCTTGGACAGTCTGTGGGTCTCCAGGTTGCTGGGCCTTCACATTTTTCCTCCCTCCCTTGTAACCAGGCAAACAGTTGTCAAGTGTGACCACAGCACCGCTCGAGGAAAAGTACAGAGATTTCACATTGTGCTCAACAACGAAGTTATTTGCCGAGACCTAATGCTATCCCCCAGTGGGATTTTTCCTAGGAAACGTGTATTCCATAAGACTTGTCTGTCATGCCTAAATAAATGATTGGCTCTGGCTTCCCAAGGACATGGAAGTCTGTCAGATTTTGGTGGTTGCTTTGTAGCCGTGAGCACTGAGGTATAAGCCCCAACTTAGAATTGATATGCTGACTCTGTCCTTGGCTACAGCAGACTCTTCTGTGGCTTTCTAATTCATCTCACAAGGGACTTTTTAAGCAACTAGAGCACTGGAGTTCTCTGACATTCAAGGGCCGCAGGGTGTGTATGTTTTGCAGTAACTTGTTAGTTAAGAATGATGTCTTTCTTCAGATTTGGCCCGTGCTTCTGATGCTGCAATGAAATGATCACCAAGACCTTAAGACAACCAGAAGAGGGCCGTCGATGACTCACACACCCATAGGATATCAGGAAAGCTTGCCTGGTGTTCTCATTAGGAACTTACTGTCCAGATGAGGAAGGTCTGTCTGTGAAGTGGGAGCGACTGGCTGTTCTCACCTTGAGCCACATGCACTAAACATGGGATAGTTTAAAACAACTTCTCCCTTGTATGCTCTAAGGTTATAGTATCAAGATTAATAGCCACACTGAGTTGAGCCTTGCTTTCCTTGCCATCCTGCACCCTTAGACTGGAGTTTCTGATGGTTACAGGAAGGGAGGAGGAAGAGGAGATTTTATCAGGTTCAAGGGCAGAAGCCCAGCAGCTCACCAGCCTCCCAGGCCTGCATTACTTGGGATTGCTGAACAGATAACTGCAGGCCTAAGGCCTCTGAGGCCTCTTGGGGTCCAGGTCAGTGAGCACTGGACACAGGCTGTGCATGCCTCGCACACCCATCCTGCGCTTGGGCTCCACTGGCAGTGGGTGGTAGCTGTGCACGCCGTGCAGTTGACTCAGCTCACATGAGAGCTGCAGCGCGCTGCCCATCCCACGCGCAATGGCATCGCTCCACTGCCAGGGCCAGGCAGCGCATGGCCAGTGGCGGCAGTGGTAGCTTGGGCTGCTGCTCTCCCTGGCCACATACACACACAAACCTATGAAGAGACAGAAATTCTGCGGCCCTAGATGGCAGTGCTCCACACTGAACAGTGACTTGGAAAGATTAAGCCGGGCCACCTGGAAAGAGCTTCAGGAACTTTAACATCTCCAGGACACAAGGGCAAGCGTCGGAGCATATGCTGCCAGTATGTGGTGCATTTGTTATACATGTACCCATGGTGTGTGTGTGTGTGTGTGTGTGTGTGTGTGTGTGTGTAAGATGCTAACAAATGTCCATCACTGTTAGAAGTAATTCTAAAAGAAACTAATAAAGATTATATCTGCTTAAAAATAAAACCTTTATGTCTCTGTCTAAGTCTCTCTGTACATATTAGGTCTAAACATGTATAGCAGTTGGAATATCTGATTAAAGAGGCCATCTAAGGAGACTGTTATTCTATAGCTTTGTTTGTGGACTGACTTTCTGCTCTGGAAAGGGTTTTGTCTCAGCACATAGATGGTGCTCCTCTGTGGACTCTAAATCACTGCTGCGGCTCCTGGGCACGACAGAACGTCTTCTACCCCTTTCCTGAGACTCTAAAAACAGGCTTTGTCTTTTCTGTCAAAGCATAAGGCCAAAGCTACTCCATTTTGTACTTAAGTGACCTGCCGTCTGCTCACTAACCAATCCCTCTAGTAATGTCGTGAGCTCCAAGAGAGGGCAGCTATGTACTTTTTCCTAGAACATAGCCAGTTTCCAGGATAAGAACCAAGGACCTCGCTAACACATGAGCACACCCTCACTGCTCCCACCATGGAGCAAGTCGTCCACAACAGACCGTCAGCCTTCGAATTCAGCCCATGGATTTGAAGGGTAGCTGCTTTTCCTGCATTAGGTATAACAAGGTCAACCCTTTTTTGCCCTGTGCTGCAGAAGACAAAAAATCCTTGTTGAAATTTCTTGCTGTCTGAGTTATTATCTGCACTGACAAATCGATCTGTGTGCTTATTTCCAACACCACTAGGAATGAAAACTCTAGCTCATGAAGCCAGCAGACAAATCTAAGAAAATTCCTACAGAAGTGGACATAGAGCCCTGGAAATAGGAATGTCACCCCTGTTTACACTTGTCTGCATCACATGCATTAAATGAAGCCTCACTATCTTCAGTCTCTGAGCTTTTGAGTTATGCTTTTTTCACAGTGGGAAATATTGAGACATGAACAGCAACCTATTTGTCATTATGTGTAATTGCATAAAAAGGACAGAAGTACAGAAAAGGGACTTAGAAGAAGAGCCGGTTAATCAGGAACAACATAAATAAACAGATAAGAAACTGGGGGGTAGATCTGCCTTATGAGTGAGGTATAAGGACTCATATAAGTAAGCACAGGGCAGGCTGGGAAATACAGCCAGGAAGGTGTGGGCCTTGAGTGATGGAATGCTAGAGGCTGGGCGGCCCAGGGTGGAGGACACTTCCTGTGTTGGCAGAACCCTCTCCTTCTCCTTCGGTAGACAGCGGCCTCAGGATCTGAGGACAGGTGACATCACCCTTTGTTCTTCTTTATTTTGGGAATAACTGGGGAAAAGAAGAGTGATCCACACAGAGCAGATCTGCCGCTGGTCCTCTGTGCCCATGACTGACGCCAACATCAAGATGGAAAAGTGCATTTAGCTGCTTTTACATAAAAGCCAGATGGGAACACATTTATTTCTTCTTGGTGGAAGTAGGACAAAGAGGACTACTGACATGTAACGGGAACTTACATTAGTTGAAGGAATAGGGAAGTGCAAGCTGTGCTGCCCACAGTGACTTCCCCGCTCTGTGGTGTTGCTCTCTGCAGTTAGGGTAAACAGCATAATACCCAAGCTTTGGCAATTTCACTTCCTCATTAGTTACTTTTATGGCATGCTAGGTTTTCTGGTGTCTGCTCACACATGGATAGAGGTTGAGAGGAAGGCCAGTGGGAAGGAGAAGCTGTGAAGCTTTGAGGATTTCATCACAAGAGCGCAAGCAAAATAAAAATAGAAGCAGAACAAAATTGGGGTGTGGGGCAGGTAAGGGGGCTGTGAGAGGGAGAGGAAGGAGACCTATCCTCTGTCTCTAGAGTCTCTCGATAAGGAGAACAGACCCACAGATCAACCTCTCAGCCAAGAGACTAAAAGCTCCCTGTGCGAAACCCTGTGCACACAGCTGTTATACGAAAGCATGTGTTCTGGCTCCGTGTTACATACCAAATACATCATTGTCTTCGGAGAGTTCACCAAGGTTCCTCTTCACCTCAGATTCTCTTCTGTTAGTTTCACCATTCTAGGAAAAAAATACAGCAAAACCCCATCTTCAGATACATCTCTAGCAACACATATTATTACGTACTTTTTCCCCTTACACATTTTAAAAAGTCATATGATCCCATTCTCACATCTGTCTTCAAGCAGGAAATGGATTTCAGTTCAAGCATATATTCTGTGCAAGGGAGTCTGAATTCTGGCTTGTTTTCTCCGCTGTAACCCTTAAACCTTCTCATAGTCTGTCTGATTGAACATTTTCATATATGGAAACTTGAGAATCACCTTGGATAAAATGCATTAGCTGAGCCTTAACCGATCAGTCTAAATCATGCCCGTATGGTTACTGTTCTGGTTGATAAGTAACACCTTGTGTGGAACTGGCATTGGGCACAGTGTTGCTGAATTCCAACTTTGGCAAACTGGCAGCTGGTCAGGACTGACTGGGGACAGAACTTCCAGGGGCTCTTGAGTTCCTATGAGTTGAGGGAACAGCGTGCTGTAGGGCTGTGCCTGGCCGTGTGCCCTGTGTGCCTTCAGGAGTCTGTCCCCTCGGAGCAGCTGTTTTTTGCCTCTCCCGTGAGGCTTCCATCTGCTGATGTCTGGGACCCAGATGGCCACATAAGTCTGAGTTTTATTTTTGGGTTTAAAATTTCCAATGCATCATTTAATCAGGAGTATAAAGAGCGGAAATAGTTCCATTCCCTTACATTTATGGAACCAATCTTTCTTGATTACTGTGTTATGTCACACGTACATAACACCAAAGTCAGAACAGTCTGGCAGGGGTGAGGCCGCCGCATCCTGTTCCCCTTCACACTTCCGGGCTGAGCACTTTCCCTGCCAGGATATTAGCCTTTCCAGCCCCCTCTGGGCTCCTTGCACCCAGGCTCCGCACAACCAGCAGCTGCATCTTTTCCCCCTTTCTCTTTCTTTCCACAAATGGCCTCATGTGGTGGCTACCACTTTGCCTCCTGCCTTGGCTATGGAAGACGCAATCGTGGGGGTGACTTCAGATCAGCACAGAGTAGACTCCGTGGCCCACCTCTGAACGGGCTCCAGCGTTCTGGCACTGTGAGGACCCAGCCAGGCTCCCCCAATGACTATCTGGCTTGTCTGGTATGGTTTTTCAGTTATAATCAGTGCTGCACTAATTCTTAACTCTTCATAATGCGCAGGTGTAGATAACTCCTGGGAGCTGAGTCAAAGTGTAAACTTTTCTAGATGCAGCTAAGCACCTCCAGGGTGCTGTGTGGTTGTCTCTAGCTGCAGAGGGGCCGCTTCTCTACAGCATGGCTTCCTCAGCTTTTTAATGTGGCCTCTGTGATTATTTTACACCACTGCTTCCCAACCTTTCATTTCCTAAACATCTCCTGCCCAGTGCTGAAAATTGTCCTCAGTTTTACATTCTTTCTTTTAGAGAAGGAGCAGTCAAAGGGACTGAGACAATAAGCCCTGCAGTCAGCCAAGAGGGCACATTCAGTTCGGAAGCCATTTAGCCTTTCTGTGCCTCAGTCTACCTGTTTATAGAATGAAGGAAATGCCAGCATTGTCTACTATGGCTGTAGTGAGGAGGAATGAAGTTAATATTTTCAAAGCACTTAGAGAATGCCTGACACACAGAAGCTGCTGTGGTGAAATGGATGTTCCAAAAGGCCCGCTGGGTGCTTTGCTCCAAGGTCCCCTTCTAGGGGGTGGGTTCTGTCTGAGAAGCTCCCCCACCTCTGGGGCCCTCTTCCTGGAGTCCTACCCATCTTGCTAAGCTGCTCTCTGTGGAGAGATTTGCATGTGGTCCTTAAATCTAAGAATAGTCACTGAGGCCCTGGGGAGTGGCTGTCATGATGTCACCTTGTGGGTTCCCTGGTGAAGCTCTGCCCGACCTGTCCACCAGTCCACCCCATCCACAGAGGACAGGGCTGTGCCCAGAGAAGCGAAGTCAGAGGCAGGGGTTGGTGTTCTGGGGGCTGGGTTGGGCTATGTCTGTGGAGAGTGGCAGTAACTCATCTGAACCCAGTACGTTTCCAGTTTTGGGCTCCCCCACCACATTCCACCTGACCCACAGAGGCTTCTGTAGTTTGAGTCAGGTGTGACCCATACAGTACACACTGCCTTGATTAATTCATGAACCCAAAGTGTGGCTCAGATCTGCTGCGCTCAGCACGTGTACCTGGAGCTGTGCGCACCAGGAGAGGTGCACAGACATGGTGCCTGGGATGTGCCATCCCACTCCACACAGGGTGGGATTCACGCAGAGATAGGCCTGGGCCTCCACCACTGGGCAGGCGCTGCGTGGCTCTTGGAGGCACTGTGAGCAATGTGACGACACACTCTATGGCTTCAAGGGACTGAAGTGTGCAGACCACCCCACACTGACTGCTCACAAAAGCTAACTTTCAACGTATGTGTTTCACCCACATGCTACCTCAAGACAGACAATGCTGGTGTTCTGCTGCTTACTTAGATGCCGAGGAATACAAGCCAGGCACCGTGCTCATTAGCACTGAATCACATGCATACACCATGCTATCTATGGTGCTGAGCAAGGACTCTTGCTTTCATTAGACAAAATTTACTTATTTCGTATGGCTATCATCAAATTTGTTGCTCATATTTCCAGGCATAGGCATTCAAGGTGGATCGAGCAGTCAAACACTAACTCTTCCTTGCACTAAACGTTAACAATCATTGTTAATTTTCTTCTTGTCTTGAACTTCTATACCACTTTTATTATTCTATGTTGCTTTGTTTTTTGTCTTTATTCTTTTTTTTTTCTTTTTGCGGTGCTAAGGATTGAACTAAGGACCTTGCGCTTGCCAGGCAAGTGCTTGTTTTACTGAGCTAGTTCCCCAGTCCTTGTCTTTATTCTTGTTATTTGCTTTTGGTGTTTTTCCTCTTTAAAATAAAAAAAAAATCATTTAGTCCCAGGGCCATGAGTATCTATTCGGCAACCTTTCCAGCATACCCCTCTGCCATTTAGCTTAAGCAGACTGCATCAAGGTTTCACTCCCCAAGCTCCTTCAAATTTTAGTTATTGGTCCGACAAGATAGCTCAGTGGACCAAGCGCTTGCTTAGGCAAATGTAGAGACTGGGGTTTGGCATACCACATGCCGTACCGGCCCTGCCAACCATCGAGACCGGGTGTGGTGGTGCATGCTTATAATCCCAGTGCTGGGAAAAAGGAGGCTGAAAAAAGGAGGATCACTATGAGTCTGAGCTGCACAGTGAGACCCTGTACCAAATACAATAAATACATAAATAAATAAATAAATAAATAATAAATATCAGTTATCCACACCAAGTTTCACTCCCTTTGTGGGCTGACATGTGTCCTTAAAGAGATTTGACTGCATTCTAACCTCTGCTATCTGGGAATGTGATCTAATGTAGAAACAGAGACTTTGCAGATGGGAGTCTAGTTAATAGGGGTCCTATTAGATTAGGGTGGGCTGCAATCCAATGGCTGGTGTGCTTAGACAAAGAAGAACTATGGGCAGGGATACACAGGATAGTACCATGAGATACAGAGAAATGGGAACAACACAGCTACAAGCCAGGACACACCCAGGTCTGCTCGAGCCACCAGAAGCTGGAGAGAAGCCAGGTAGTGTCTCCCCGCCGAGCCCCGGCCCTTGATGGGGGGCCAGCCCTTTGAGAGGATGTACTTCTGCTCTTCAAGTCACTGGTGTTTGGTGATTTGTGCAGAAGCCTTGGAAATGTCCCCCTCCTAGACAGCAGCTCAGACAGCTGGATGTTATCGAGTGCAGTGAAAAATGATGGAGGAAAAAATGCTATTTTTGGTACTAAGGAATTTCTAGCCCTTTAGTCTATAATAAAGCAGCAATCAGTGTCATTTTCTTTGGGAGTAAAACATAAAAAGAATCTTTCTTGGGCCCTGACCTCTAAACTCTAAGCAGCAGCTTCCTGTGGGCTGCCACCAGGCCTGGGGTGGTGTCAGGTAGGAGCCCTGAGAACTCACACAGCTCCCTTTATGACCTCCCAGAAAGTGAACACACTTATGAATTACTCAGAAGTCAGGGCAGGAGCACGGTGAACAATTAGCAGAAATGACTGATGCTGTGGGCAAGCCAGTGCGTGGGTGGAGAAAGAGTCCCGGTCAGTGTCTGAGGACAGCCTGTGTGCGGCCATCCCTTTACGCGGAGTGTCCAAGCACCCTCTAAGACACACCCATCATGAAGATGCACTGCCTGCCACATGTAGGGATCTTCTGCTTGTTATGGCTTGTTTTTTGGTACTGGGGATCGAACTTGGGACCTTGCACTTGCCAGGGAGGTGCTTATGCCACTGAGCTATCTCCTGGGCCTTTGCTATGGCTTTTTATACACCTGTACATGCTGATACAACACTGTACTCATAAATGTACCCAAGCATATTCACACATAAACTGTAGGTGGGAACGTGCTTATCATTACTCTTGCATTTTTAGAAGACTGAAGACGTGCAGGTGGCAATTTTGGAAGAACAGGGGACCCAGGGTTGGGTTCCTATGAACTCAAAGTTCTGAAAGGCAAAAAAAGGCTCTCGGAGAGGAAATCACCTTGTGTCAATTGTGAAAAAGTTATAAAGTTAACTACCAAAGTTCTGAATCATACTAGAAAATACTTATCAGGAGAGAAAAGATATTGAAATATATCACAAAGTGTTGTTGTACTTGCAAAGGTAGTTGTATATTACACTCTCACAGTGACAGTACATCACATTCAGGTTGCCTTAAAAGAGGTGAGTCAAAAACATTCACTTGGGGCTGGGGAGATGGCTCAGTGGAAGAAGCGCTTCCCTGGCAAGCGCAAGGGCCTGAGTCAATCCCCGGTTCTGCCAAAAAAAACCCCCAAAAAACCAAACAAACAAACAAACAAAAGCCATTCACTTAAAGGCCCTGAACGTCAAAAAGAGAATTACAGATAAAAGCTTTAGCTTTCCATAACCAGTTTAGTAGATCAAGTTCAGACTGTCCCCACGGTCTGGGCCAGCAGTGGCTGACCTGTGTGGCCTGTGCACCCCAG